TGACGACGGTTTCATCTTACAGAGTTTATCAGGTGATGACTTCAGCTGAGCTGGTACAAAGTACTTTACGTCAGTTGGGGAAACTGAGAACTTAGCAATCAAACCAAATCGCTCCATCATGTCTAAGATGTCTTCTTTGATGATTCCTTGTCCAATAAAGCTGGAGAAAACATGATCAACATGTTCCATGCTGAGGATGCCACTTCCTTCGAGTTCGCGCCAGTACTTAACATATCGGGGATTCTTTAAAATGTATCAAAAAAAGAAAAAAAGCAATTCCATTGTTTCCATCAATGTACCGAAATGGTTGGAAATTAAACCCATTATGGTGAATACTTAACAATTATTCCACGAGAGCGCGTTGGATATGACATGATAGATAGCCAACGAGCTATAATCATCTCATATCCAACAAGCGCGAGTGGAATAATTGTTTTATTAAAAACCTTAAATCAAATTATTAAATTTCATTAAATTTTTAGCTCCCTTTCAATTTTAAGTTGACACGTGCTTACCATATTTGTAGATTATGGTATATTGGCTGATATACCATAATGGCTAAGCCAATAAAAAGTCTTGAATTGCATTATCCAATGATCTAGTTTTTAATAATAATAGTTAGTCTCCCCTCCTCTTTCAATTTCGCGCTCGATGTTTTGAGAAACTCAAAACGTAAGCCACCGACAGCCAGTCCATTTTCAATACTTGTCGCATCATTAAACGAACATTAGACAACGTATCACACGGGGAATATTAAAAAAGGGGTGATCAGTTAAAATGCATTAGTCTTGCTCCTTTTCAATTCACTTAAGACCGGTAATGCTTTAAAACACCTGTGAAAATCGTAGTGGTTACTTAAACTATTTTATTATACAGAACCAAAACTTATTCCACACTTCAATATTTCTATGTACAAATTTAGAACCCTGCCTCACGTACCCTTTCCTTACGTGGAAAAGAGAAAACGGGTAGCTAAAATAAAACTAGACCAAGACAAAAAAGGAAAGCCGTAACGACAATGAAAAATGATGTAACAGACCACTTTTTGATAAAGGTTTAGCTGAGCCCACTAGGCACAACACAGAACCCTGAAGACAGGGTGGGGCATATTGAACAACCAAAAACCAAAACATGTCATGTTTCTCTTTCAAAACATAAAACGCTAATAATCCATTTCCGCATTGCCAAGACGACAAATAAGGGTATTCAGAAGATGAAGATGAATCCAGTTCATTTTGAAAAACATTCTAGAACAACTAGAACTTCCGAACGCAGCGATTCTCCAAGGAACGGTTGAATAAGTATGCGACATATAAGCTTTCGAGGTCTTCTTGTTGTCTGAATTTTATACTGATGTAATCGTCTGAGGAACTCTGTAACGCTACCAGTATCTATGGTTTGTCTCTCTCAGCTGATTCACAGAGGCTACTTTCCATCTTCAGTTGTGGTTATGTAAGTTTAGTCGTGCACATTTCATTTGACCGAGTCCCATTTTGGGGAGACAACCTCTCAGACTTGTCCATCATTGTCATAGTTAGGCGGGTGCGCTGAGTCGCCTGAGTGGAATTGTTAATGCCAGCGTAGGCTGTATCCAGTCTACGGCAGACCAAACGCAGCAAAATCCTTTTGAAAGCGCGGTTAAAGCGCCGATTTCTGACCGAGTAGATGATGGGATTCATAGCAGAGTTGCCAAAGTGAAGTACTTTTACTGCCATTAGGACGCGCATGTCCCATACGAATGTGCACGTGGAACACCATTTGAAGATCAAGATCACCAAAAAAAATGGAAGCCAGCAGATAACAAAAACGCCGGTTACTAAGGCAACAGTATAGGCGACATGAAGGTCCTAGATAATAAAAAGAAAACAAGCTGTACAAAAGCAAACACTCAAGAACACATACAGCCTGGAGATACTAGGTAGAGAGCCTTTCAAGGATCGAAAGCGGGACACTTGAAATAGAAGTTGACTGAATGATAGCTCTCGGACATTTCGACAAACCGTAAAACCCCAAGCAATTTATAACGTTGTTAGCAAAAGTAGCTGATTACAAAAGAATTGAAGCGAGTGCGGGGCATCGATGTTACTTTGTAATCACTTCATTTCTAAACGAGCTGCTAAGACAACAGAAATTGTATTCAACCCTTATTTTCAAGAGCTCACACGTCAAAGACATGCTGCCGGACCGAACCATCACGGTCAGCCGGGGTCTTGGCACTGCGATTCGGAGATCTATTCGGGCTAAATTGCTTCACGTTATCTTCTTTTCCTTTACCAGGAAAACCTAGCTGGATTAGCCCAGCACGGTGGATTCTGTAATTTTCGAACATCTCACTAATTTAATGCTCTCTTATGAATTTACCTTCTTTAAGGAACGTCTACTGTGTTCTTTCAGGCTCCTTTTGGCCACAAAGAAGATAACAATGTAAGCAGCCACTATCAACAGCAACGGAACGAAGAAGAAAGTAAAGGTGTTGAATATGGCGACATCTTTCCAGCCGGAGAGCTTCCTTAGTAGGGCGTTGAAAATGGCAAGCAGCCATGAAAAAACGATACCGGCGAAAATCTTAGCTGAAAGGAATATTGAGCAATTGAATATTGAGCTGTTGAATGGATTTTAAGCACAAGAAAACAAAACAAATGCATTAAATAGGAGCGAGAAACGATAGGATGAAGGAAAGAAAGGAAGAGAAGGCGAGGAAAGACGAAGAAAATGGACGAGAGAAAGATGGAAGGAAAGGAGGTAAGGAGCACGAGCAAAACGGGAAGGTTTAGAAAGGTGAGGAAGAAAGTGTTGAAAAGGAAGGTGTTTCTACATACCTTTGCTAATCTTCCTGTGTTTGAGAGGTGCGACTATAGCATAACACCGCTCGATACTAATACAAGTCAAGTGTAGAATAGACGACACGCCCGACACAATGTCACCCATTTGGTAATATTCATACAAAGCGTTCCTGAAATCCAACGTGAGAATGAAATATATCCATAAAGGAACAGAAAATAACCCAACCAGCAGATCCGCCACAGCCAGGGAGAATATGAAGTAGTTAGTTTTAGTTTTAAGCTTGGTGGTGGTAAAGAAGGCGATGATGATCAGTAAGTTTCCTGAAAAAAAAACCAAAGTAAAATTAAAAGTACTGAAATAGCTCTCCCTCTACATGAAAACAGTTCCATGGCGCCATTAACCTGCAGAGCTGGCGTAATTTTGGCGGGCGAGTGCTTTGTATTGTCTTGGTGGAATTTATGGCTGCCATCTTTGATTTTTAGGGAGGCTAGGAAGAAAAAGAAATTTGTACCAAGGGGGTGAGCGACGGTCAAAATAAAGGAGTGGGGAGCGGGTGGGGCGATGAATATCATTCTATTACCTCGCCTTTCCACACCCGTTCGCCCACCGTCTACTGTAATTCCAAATCAAACATGGTCGGTTGAATTAACGATCGTAAGCTTCTTAATGCTAACTGGCCCTAATAAGACGCCTCCACTGCAGGCTATGGCTCCATTTTTGAACGCATCTTCGACTGACAATTTTCAAACTAAAAAGGATATTGTTTCCTGTCCACCAATTTTCAAAATTGAAACGGATTGTTAGAGTGAAGATTAATACACCATTTGCGATGCGTGGAAATTTGAAAGGTAGCTGAGGTTTTTAGAAAATCGCTCTTGAACTACAACTTTCATATTCAAAATGACCGAATTTTGTACATTTTCGTGCGCAGAAGGATAGTACTTCTACTTTCCAAATCTCCCTTATTATTGGTGCGAACTAAAACTACATCTTTAATCTTCTAAAACCCATTCGTGTGATATGAACTTTGTCCTTCTAAAACTCAGAAAAGCGGGTTTTATGAAGCCCGTTTGGCCAATTTTGGCCTATTTTTTCTCTAATTTCGAGCAAATTCGCTTTCAAATTTAAATTTTGCCGCACCACCATTAATTACGAATAATTGATGACGTCGTCACAATTTTCCTGATGTTAGACATAAACCCAGAGAAATAGGGTTTCAGTCCACAACAGTGGATTTCGATTGTGTATCGTAAAACAAAGCAAAAGTTATCATACTCAAAAAAAGATTAATATTAAAATGAAGCAAGCTAACAGCCGCGCAACATCTGCGATAAGTTACCGAGCTCCCGAACACCGCCAGCCACACGCTCAGGCCCCCAGTTAAAAATTCCATGCAAAAGAAACAAACATTTAATAAAATTTGCAACTGATTTCATTTTTTACAAATAGATTTCATAATGCCATGCGTCTGTTCAGTAGATCATAGATGACGTCATAATGTGGTAAAAACAAATAAGTGGCACGCGAGGGCATCCAAGTGCGTGACTAATGTTTTTTTACAGTTATGTAGTAGTTTGACGTCTTCTGTTATCTTTTAATGTACAGACCCACGGCAACATGGAGATAGAAAAGGGAAATGTTGTTGATGGTGTTGTCATTTATGCGTGTGTCCTCCAGTAGATCATTATTAGGAACCCGATCACTATACATGTATAATTCAGCTTTTCTTATAAAAACACTTACAACAAATTTTCTCCACGGGATTTTGGTTGCCAAGCTACGTACGAGTGAAAAAGTTGACCATCTTGCGAGAAGTGTACAGAATTTTCCTCTTTATTCTCTCGATATGAGACAAAGGAATGGAATTCCCGAGCGTGGTAAGTTCAACAGATAATATGCTCTGTTTAACGGCTTTTTTTTCGGCAAAGTGTATAATGTAATATATCTTCCGCGAGCTAAGCGGTAGAATATTCGAGTCACGCATCGGCAATAGCAATAAGCAAGGTCATCTTCAACGTTGTTGTGTACGTAAGTTTTTAGCCGAAGTTATATTGCACAAAGGTACCCTAAATGAAGGCCCACGTGTGGGGTCTGCTAAACACATTAGAGCACTAGGGCCTTACAAAACACTGGGCATTAAATTTAGTAATTTCTCTGCTCTCCAGCTGTCTGATTTCACTTCAGTCTCTCAGAATTAAATAGCAGCCGAAGCCGGTATTGAAAAGAGACTAAACTCAGTCTGAATCATCAGCCGTGTGCCAAGATTACAACTAAATTTAATGCAACGCATCTATTATTTTTTAATTAATTTTTTTTTCTAGTATTTGTTATAGTCTCGTTTAGAAACGTGATAAAAGTCAGGGTATCATTAAAGCGTTTTAAAACATACAATAATACTAACCCGCAACAATGAGAAACACGAGAGCAGAATATATTCCAACTCCAACATAAACCCAGCTCGGCCCGATTGGAGAAGCATAAGTAGGAGTTCCTTTCGTAATATTTGTGGAGTTTTCCATTGATCCGTGGTCAGCGAAACTCAGAGCTGATAATAGAAAAGGACGTATAAGGATCAAGAATGACAATTTATTAACAAGCATGCTTTCTAATTGGTCAATAAACTATCGTTTAATTTATCGGTTGGCCTAAAGAAATTTAAACAATTTACATTTAATTCACTGAGGCAATGTAAAGCTCTCCTTGCGGCTTACCAGTTGGAACGTTGGAGGAAAACTCGGAAACCCTGCCAACCATCCATCTCTAGCTCGCAATTCAAATGCATTTTCTTAAGTTCTAACATCAACAACAATTATTTGTTTTCAAAGTATCGATATCAAGTCTTTTCGTCTCTCCCTCGCGGAAGCTCAACTCACTACCTTATTAAAGTCAGTAAGGCTTTACCTAAGTTCTTTTTGCTGGGCTATTAGAATAATTAAGTCACAAAATCATAATAGTAGTAGAAAAATGGCAATCAGAGATGACCGCTTTAATCCGCAGGAGATCAAAATAAATACAACGAAAAATTGTCAAAAACTCGGGAATCCGACTGCGATAGAGGGCCAGACCGCTAATATCTTGACGCCGCAGACGAGACTTTGAGCTCGCTTGAAATTTAACAAAAAGTATCCCACGAGTCTCTTGACCGAGAAATTTTTTCACAAGATCAAAATGATCCTCTTTAATCGAAGACTGAATCGCAAGACTTGGCCCTCACCACGTCCAGTATATCATACAATTTCCTGGCGTAACGTTAAGACCCTGAATTCTATCGATAGCAGCTTTCTTAATTCACAGCAGAAAAGGTGAACACCTTCGCTGAACTGCTATTAAAAGTCTCAAGTTCGCTTCACAGTCTCACCAAGCTTGCGAAAAGAAAACTACCTTGAAGTATAAAGACAGCAAAGCACTAGAGTTCAAAAGAGCCTTGCCACTTGCTTGAGTCAATCAGTAAACATGAGGGAGTCTGTTTCCCTAATGGCCTCACGGCTCGAAAACTCATTCACGTCGGAAACACTAAAAGCCAACGGTGATTTGGCAGCACTTTATCAACTGGGAAAATTGAAACTAGTCATAAACTGAAAAAACCAACAAACCCTCTCTGAGATCTGATAAAGGAGGGTTAGGATTCGTTTTTCATAATGACTGAGGTCACATCTCATAGTTGTGGCATCTTCCCATTCTTTAACTGTTTTGCGGCTTGAGCCGTCATTTACTGTTTAAAATGAATACGAGTTTTGCGCCAATGTAATTTATAATTTTAGCATTGGATCTTCCTAGATTTCAACACTGATCACGATGCCTATTTTCTTCTATTTACATTACTAATTTGTTAAATTTAAACGTATTAATAGAACCTTCAAACAAGATACCTTAAAGCAAACTCAGAATTATCACAAAACCTCTTTCGTGCCTTTGATGCAATCTCACGTTTGCCATTAACTAGGTGACTTAACCTCTTCAAAGCAAAAATATTTACTCTTTACGATAGATATAAAGAGTCATACAAAATTTCAAATTCACTCACGAGGGCTAGGACATCTCGCAAACGCTAAAAAGGTTAATTTTGTGGCGTCTTTGGACCGTCCCTTTCACGTGTAAAGCATATCAGCTTGTCCGACAGTTACGAGATCTTTTGGGAAGGAAGCTTGACCCGTCAGCGTCGCAGAGCATCAATTTTAGCTGGCTGGCCCTTGAAATCCGGAATGTTTACTTCTCTTCGGCGAAATTTATTGAAGAAAAGGGGCGAGGTTACAAATTTGGGAGTAACTTAGACGGATCAATTTCAGCGGTCACCATAATCTTCATTGGCTACACGGTAACATTAAGGTAGAAGTCGACACTGACACTGCTAATGAATGATGCCTTTTTTTCAAGTTAAGTGTTACTGATAGAGAGCAGATTACTAAATTGCAGACGTCGGGCTTCAATAACTTTGAATTGAGTTTTCTTACTGGATGTGTGCCATATGATATCGCCTGTTGCGGATTTGCCTTGCTGATGTAGTAAACAACTTGCTAGGAAATATAACAGCCTACCAGTAGCCACTTTAACGGATAATGGATTAGATAGGTAAAAAGAATTCATTAATAAGTAATGTAGCTTGCTTGAGGACAAAACCTACTAGAAACTATATACCGGTATAATTATAACTTCTTACAAAGGAGTTTTGGTTTGGCTCGAAAAGAAAAATTGAGGAAATTCCAAATTGATTTTTAAAACATTAACAAATTTTTGTATTTTTATTCAAAAGGCTGTTTTTAAGGTTAAAGGTGAAGCCAGGTGTACTCACATCATATGGAAAAATCGCCTCTACGCTCATGGAAAAGTGCTAACAAATTTCTACAATAAAATTAGCTCTACTTTGTAATAAGCGTTGCTACGACAAAATTAAAGTGCTACTGAAACGAAATTTTCGTATCTGAAATTTTTGCTCTAACCTGTAGTTTTGAATATGCTGATCATCATGAGATAATTTGCTTTGGCAAAAAAAGAAGCGAAAGATATCTTTTCTCACCGTTCAAATAAAAAATTTACACAAAACCATGTCCGGGCTCTGCTACCGAGCGAAATGGATTGATGATGTCACTAGTTGGTTGCGTTCACTCCGATAGCGGGGTTTATTTCACTCACTGTTTGTTTGTATTCGTGGGCGAAGGAGATGGCAGATATTGAAGTTTTGTCAAGTGAATCTTCTTCTGAACGAAGCGAAGTTGTCTCCAGTAGCGAAGAGGAAGATGGTGGCGTCTATTTTGGGTTGAACCGGAATTTTGCTCCCTATCAAGGCGAACCTCTCGCAGATAGCCAAGATGCCGATATGGCCGCCGATGAAGAAGACAAGGATGGCATTTTGCCCGAAATCCTCTTTTTCCGCTTCCCAAAATGCAACCACACTCCATGCTTTTACCCTTCTTTCACAGAAGTACACAACCAGTGACGTCACTGGGCTGTTTTGGTCGCGCCAAGATGGCCGCCAATTTTGATCTCAACCGGTCAACTTCGAATGGTTAAAAATGTACTTTCCGCTATATGCGTTGGCCCAAAAAAAGTACACAGCGTTTGTAAATAACGTTCAAACTTTATTATATTGCAAAAATCTCGGATATGAAAATTACGTTTCAGTAGCAAGGGAATTAGAAAGAGAGAACTGCAAACAGTCACATTTCACGAAAGGCGACGTTTAATACAAAAGAGAATTCTATCAGCCTTTTTTAAATATGTGAAGTTGTAAGGAAAATAAAATTGAACATTGAAAGCTAAAATTGGCGGCAAGGCCTTTGATCTGGCAGTGTTCTTGAGCAGGAGGAAACAACGAAGATTCAAATCGATAAGCTGGGCACCACAGCCACTCATGCGCGAAGAACAAAGTATTGAAAATAAACTCTGCGGGTGTGAAATGAAAATGTAAATATCTCTCTCTTCGAAACGTAAATACATATAACTTTAATTAGGACAAGATATTGATGCAGTATCAAAGTCCTTGTTGTTTATTGAAAAATTCGCCCAAAAAACTTGGTTTAAAGAAACAGAGATATTTTTTATCAAATTTGATTGTTTATTTTCGTCCTTTAACTCGATTGAATTCTTCATTGACGTTTTGCTAGCTACCCTTGATTCAGTGGTAACTGATAATTGGGTTTGTTCGTCAACTTAGAAATTTTCCGAACGTCAAAAGCACTTACGGACGAAAGAATGTTCAATCAAACATTTTTTTTGTTTCACTTAGGCTCAGTTCTGCTTTAGGGTCTGCTAAAATAACGATATACCAACTAATTCTCGACTAATTCCTTTCAAAACCAGTAACTGAGGAATTAAACCATAGAACTTTAGTTTATAAACACGACCCTTTTAGATGCTCAAAAGATGAAAGCACGCCGACAACATAGCTGGATCTCGAATTTTTTTCAGTCGCCAAATCTTAAATCATTTCTATCGAGTTTAACTTTCTAATAGTTTGATTTATCTCTGAGACTAAATTGAAAAAAAAGAAGAGCCATTTTGCGCTCTGATCTCCTTTTGTTAACTCTTCTGAAAAATCAGTGAACTCGATCAGTGATAAGCTTTACCTAAATACAGGAGTCTAAGCAAGGCTACGGTCAAGGAACTTTAAAAAAAGTAATCGAATTAATATAAAGGAAACAATCACCGAGACGGCAAACATCTCTGGCTGCGAGATATGAAACAAGACAAACGAAAACGAATTCGGAGAAATTGCCTCAAGTCGAGCCTTTCGGATAGGAATGCATGTAGTTTGTTTGCATATGCAGAGATCAACACACCTTGTGTATACGACAGCCTTGGTTAGCTTGAAAGTGCAGGAGAAAATCACGCACGAGTGCCGCCGGTAAAATTGAAATAAGAGAAACAACTCTGGCCAGTAATCGATCAATCTCTTGTTGTGAGTGAAAGGAAATGTCATACATAATGAAATACCCACTGAGTTGGTCTAATATTCAAGATAACTTATGAGTTCTGGTACAGGAAGACAACAACAGTATAGACAAATATAATGAGCCATATTTCTTCTAACAGAAAAAGCAGGAAAGTGACCAAATTACCTTCTTTCTTATGTTAACCCGTTAAACCAGAAGTGCTAGGAAATACGTGTGCCATAAAAGCTCGACCTTGCCACATTACACCTGCCTCCAGGTAGTAATTTATTCACTAACGGAGAAACGAGAAGTTACGGCTACTTTGAAGATGTTTCGTGATAAAAAAAAAAAACTTACCAGTCAAATCGTAGTTTTCAAGTTTTAAAAATAACAGTCGAATTATGAAAGTCCGCCGCCTGACCCAAACGAAATTTTCACTGAGTACCCGCCTGAATGAAAAGATTGAACCGACAGTCTTCTAACTTCAAAGAATATGGCAATTTTTTGTGATCCGGGGATTACACGAACCATGTACAAACGAACTCACGGCTACATTTGCCGCTGTAAATGTGCCGCAAACAGTAAGCAAGGATTACAGCCTTCTGTACGCAATGAAATCGGCTGGTGTACTGATGGCTGAACTTCAAAATTGAATGTTGGAGATTAAAACTCTTTG